CGCCAAAACTTTCACCCCCTCGTACGCGGGGCCCAGACTTGCGTGAGGGTTGATACCGCGGTCCTGGGGTGGTACTTGGCAGGGGAACTCACCGGCAAAATTTTGGCGCCGGAGTTTACTTGGGTGCCGAGTTGAAATATCCAAACAGACACACACACCGCACATACACACACACACACACCTGGATCGTCACACTATACGTTTTTGCATTTGCATATACGCAAAAACGCATAAAAATACACTCTATAACTCACAGTTTCTTCATTTGTCCAGATGCGATATGTTACTACAAATTAAAAGCTGTTCCACATATTCGAGGCAAAAGCAACAGTTTCTGGCGGCTTTTGGCTCACTGGTGCATTTCTTTGCAGATATCAAATAGAGCGCCATCTCGGGAAAGGCTCATTCGGGCAGGTCGCCAAAGCTTACGACACTGTTGAGCAGCAGGATGTCGCCATAAAAATAATAAAAAATAAAAAACCATTCCATGATCAAGCTCAAATCGAAATACGCTTGCTTGAGATGATGAACAGCCAGGAATCGGAAAGCAAACACTATGTTGGTACGCGTTTCGCTATTGTTTGTTCAGTGAGGTTTTTTTGAAAATTTTTGCTATGTTCGAGCTGTTAGTTAGTGCTTTCTTCGGTGAGCATCGGCTGAACCGAATATCGGGATCTCTCGAAAATTAGCGATTCTGGCTTTTTTAGAGACCTAAGCTCCTAGATAAAACAGGATTTTGTTTTTGAAAGCCTGCGCATTGATGTAACTTGGGATGGACAAGCCCTGATAAGCGGATCTGCTGTGGAGCCAGTTTTGGAGAGTGCTTCAAGCTGTAATTTTTTTGTCCTTCCGAACTGTTTACAATTTCAGTGAAACTGAAAAGTCACTTTATTTGGCGTAATCACTTGTGCCTTGTTTTTGAGCTTCTTTCATACAATCTCTATGATTTGTTGCGAAATACGGATTTTCATGGTGTCTCGCTTAATCTCACAAGAAAATTTGGACAGCAGGTTTGTTTCTGTTTTTATTTTCTTTCGGGGAGAAGTGATTTTTGCGTCCGTCTTTATCCACCATCAGTTGTGTAGCTCTGAGCATTGTTCGATTTCCAGCTGGTGAACACATTGATGTTTCTTTCTTCGCCGGAACTTAAAATTATTCATTGTGATCTGAAGCCCGAGAACGTTCTGCTGTGTAATCCGAAACGTTCAGCGATCAAAATCATTGACTTTGGCTCCTCTTGTCAAATTGGTCATCGTATTTATCAGTATATCCAGTCGAGGTTTTATCGATCGCCCGAAATTTTGCTGGGCCTTCAGTATGATACAGCAATTGATATGTGGTCCCTTGGTATATTGTTTCTTTTAACTTTTCAAAGTGTTTGATTATGGATGTTTTTTTCGAAATTTAGTACCGTCCATCTTCATTTTTATGCGTTTTTTGCAGCAATGCAATGCGAAAAACGCATATTGACGAGAGGTTTTCTGTGTG